TTTATATTTTGTCCTACCTCCCTTCGAAGACAATGGGCTGCTTTTCTGGGCGCCTGATGTCCTCTGCTAGCGATCAGAAGTTGTTTTGTGAAATTTGCTCAGCATTCAAATGTTCTTTCGATGAATTTGTAGGAGAGAAAGTGGTCTCTCCGTCCTATTCCTCCGCCATCTTGGCTCCTCCCTCCCGTCTTTTTTTCAACAATATTTTTTTGTTGTTGTTTTTGGCTTTGCCATAGGGCATGTGGGATCTTAGTTCCCTGACCAGGGGAACCCACACCCCCTGAAGTGGACATGCAGAGTCTTAAACCACTGGCCCACCTGGGAAGTCCCACCACACTCCTGATTATGGCAACTTTACAGATGGCTTGAAGAGAGGGAGTGTGAATATGTTCTTTTCCTTCAATTACTGCCTTGGCTATTCTGAGTCTTCTATCTCTCCATGTAAACTTTAGAATCAGTTTGACAAAATCCACAAAATAATCTGGTGGAATCTTCATTGAAATTTCATTGAATCTTTAGACCAAATTGGAAAGCACTGACATGTTGACAAGTCTTCCTATCCATGAACATAGGCTATTTCTCCATTTAGATTTTAAAAATTTATTTCATCCATTTTGTAGTTTCCCTTACATAGATTTTATGCCTATTTAGTTAGATTTATACTTAATATGTCATTTTTGTGTTGATAGTGTATACGGTTTTGTATTTTTACTTTCAAATTCCACTTGTTCTTTGCTGGTACAGGAAAGCAATTGACTTTTATCCTACAATCTTGATATAATCACTTATTAGTAATGAGTTGGGAGAGTTGTTCTTGATTCATATTTTCTACATAGGTGATCATATCATCTGAGAACAAAAGTTTTATTTCTTCCTTCCCCATTTGTGTACCTTTTAAATCCTTCTTGCCTTATTGCATCAGCTTATTGAAATAAGCTATTGAATAAGCTATTCAATAGCTATTGAATATTTTGAATAGTTTTCAAAATATTGAAAACAAATGATGAGAGGGGACATTTCTTGGCTTATTCCTGATCTTAGTGGGAAAGCTTCTAGTTTCTCACCACTAAGTATGATGTTCACTGCAGGCTATCAGTAGATATTTTTCAACAAGATCAAGTTCCCTCTCTATTCCTATTTCACTCAGCTTTTGTCATGAATGGATGTTGAATTTTGTCAGGTGCTTTTTCTGCATTGATTGATATAATCATTATTTTTCTTTAGTCTGTTGGTATGATGGATTACATGAAGCGATTTTCAACTGCTGAGGAAAGTCTTGCATATCTGGGATAAATCCACTAGGTTGTGCATAATTCTTTTTATACATTGTTGGAATGAATTTGCTAATATTTTGTTGAGGATTTTTGCACCTATGTTCTTGAGATCTTGGACTTTGGTTTACTTTTCTTGTAATATCTTTGTCTGGTTTTTGTCCTAGGGTAATGCTGGCCTCATAGAGTGAGTTAGGAACTACCCCTTCTTCAGCGGGAGCAGGGTGGAGCTTGCAACAATGGTAGGGGTGTGGGGCAGGGTGAAGTAACAATGGTTACCAGCCTCTTTGGATCTCTGTGCCAAGAAGTAGCTACTTGCCATCAGAGCACAGATTTCTGCTGTCTGGAGGAGGGGACTTCTTGCCTATCCTGGCTCCCACAAAACTGTGCAGATTGCTCCAGGAATGTATGCAGAGCTGCCTGCTGCAGGGTTGAGTCTGGGTCAGGTATCAGCAACTTTACTAAGAGCTGGATTTGACAAAAGGAAGCTACATTTACCGTCTAACACTTTCCCTGGAAGTTGCAAACCCTCAAGACTCCAGAATTTCAAAATAATTAGATGGATTTGCCACTGTTTAGATGGAGACAGATTCCTGGTGCTTCCTATTCCACCATCTTCCACAAATCCTCCCCATTTGATTCATTTTTATTATTCCTCTTTATTGATATCCTCCATTCGGTGACATATAATTCCTATACTTTCCTTTAGTTTTTTGAGCATGTTTAAAATAAATGATTTAAAGTCTTTGTCTAGTACATTTAAAGTCTGAGCTTCCTCAAGGAAGACCCTGTATATGGGTGCAACCTTGTTTCTTTAGACGCCTCGAAACTTTTTGTTGTTGAAAACTGCTATTTCTAATATCATGTGATGGAAATCAGGGTCTTCTCCATCCACAGGGTCTGTCTGCTTTTCTCAACTGATTCTGTAAAGTCTGCATTCTTCATTGTTTGTGGCAACTGAAATCTCTGGACAGTCAGCTTAGTGGTCAGCTAGTGAGTCATCACACACTTCCATAAAACTCTGAAACCAAAAAAGAGAGAGAGAACAGCATTCCCAATCTGCAGGTGGGCTGTGAGTCCTGGGCATGCCGTCAACACTCAGCCAGGAAATCTACAACCCCACTGGGGCCCTCACGTCTTGCTTGCACAGAAACCCAAGGTCAGACAGAGGTGCAAGCTTATGGCTTTCTCAGGTATTTCTGAGCACATGCTCAGAAAGCAAAGGTTTAAGGTTTTCTAGAAGAAAAAAAAGCAATTTTTCTCTCTGTAAGAAAGGCTTCTTTTTTTGTGTGCATGAGCAGGAGGGGACTGTGGTTAGATGACCCCGTATCTCACACCTGATAAACTCTAAGGCAGAGTGTTGGGCTCTGAACTCTGACAAACAATATGAGATGCTCGACACTGACTAGGGTCACAGCACTTGCCCTCTGGAACCCCCTCCCTCCAGCACCTCATCATCCACAGCATGCAGCGGTGCATTTTGTTTTGAGTATGACTGTGCTATCCGACAAGGAGCAGAACAAAGCCACGCCAAGATGCAGACGGCAGCTCATGCCGACTCCTGACCTGACCCCAGTAGCTCATGCTGGTGTCCCAACTCCTCTCCTGCTGCAGTCAAGTGACTATGCGTCATGAACGTGCAGGGCCCTGGACAAACAGAACAGGGAACATTACATCCCAAAGACACAACTACACCACCTAAAGTTGCAGAAATCCCCACAAGCTGACCAACACTTCAACATCCACACATGGATATTCAGCTTCCACTTTATTTTAGTTACAAAACCATTGCCAAAACACAAAATTAAAAAAAACACACACACACACACACACAGTATGTTTTTATTCCTTCTTTTGTTGCAGAAAATAAATAACCGTCACATATTCCATATGCTTGTCTATAAAAGCGTTTCTAAAAATGTAATTTACTGGATTTAACAGCATAATCTTTTTGGCTTTTTAACTGCAGTATCATACAGCAGATCATTTTATTTTACTAACTTTTTAAAAGCACTTGGGCTGCAGCAACTTTCGATAAAGGCCGTTTGTGAGCTTAAAAGTTTTTTTTCAAGTTATTTTTTAAATGGTTAAACTGAATACAACCAGGTCTTAATTTATTCTATTTATGAGGAGAATATAGTTTTTCTTTTATAAAAATTGCCCCTCAAACTCACAAACACCCAAATGGACATAAAAAGTGGGTCTGTCTTCATAGAAATTAACAAAAGGAAGGAACAAGACACAGCTGGCCCCCGTGAAATGCATCCAGCTGGGCATGCGCCTCAGAGTACGGACGCTCATGACTCCAGTGTGGCCCTTGGGAGTTTTTAAGAGGACAGTGTTCAGTCATCTAAACCTATGTTTCTGAAAAGGTAGGACATGGACTCCCCATTGTGAATCCGACGGATGGCTTCCGAGAGGGTCATGCTGATATCCACAGTTTTGATTTTGGGGCACTGGAGCTTCTGGATTTCATGTGGAATTGTATTGGTAACCACCACCTGCCAATCAAGAGGAAGAAAGGAGAGGTCGTAACACCAAGTAGCCTCCTGGATGGATATGAAAACGTGACACATTCTCACCCTTTTGAGGTCCTACTTCCAGGACTGGGGTCTACTCTGCCTTCAGTATGAGTTCAGTCAGTGTGAACACAACCTGCATCTTAGGTTAAGGTTTGCACCCACTGTGACAGCTATAGAGACAGATGACAGCAAGTATGGGCAAGGACGTGGAGAAACTGGAAGCCTCATTCACTGCTGGTGGGAATGCAAACTGGTTCAGCTGTGTTGGAAAACAGCCTGGAGGTTCCTCAAATGGTTAAACATACAGTTAACATGTGACCCAGCAATTCTTCTCCTAGGTAGACACCCAAGAGAAATGAAAACATCTCCATCTGAAAACCTGTACATAAAAGTTCGTAATAGTGTTATTTACAATAGTCAAAAAGAGGAAACAACCCAAATTATGAATAGAAAGCAAAATGTGCTACATCCAGGCAATGAAATACCATTAGGCAAAAATAAGGAATGAAGTACTGACACCTGCTGCAACACGGGTGAACTTTCAAAACATTATGCTAGTGAAAGGAGCCAGACACCAAAGGCATGTATTATACGACTCCATTTATATGAGAAGGCCAGGTTAGGTAAACCTGTTAAAGAGACAAACAGCGGATTAGTGGCCACCTAAAGATTTGTGGGTTGAGAAGAAACGGAGGCAGACAACAGGTAAGGAGTTCCACTGTGGCAGCCTGAAAGTGTTCTAAAAGTGGGGGTGGTAATGGCTGCACAGTTCTGTGATAATACTGAAAATTATTATATACTTAATTTTTTAAATGAATTTGCATTGGAGTTGACTTATGATGTGTTAGTTTTTGTTGTACAGCACAGTGAATCAATTATACATATGCACATATCCACTCCTTTTTAGCTTCTTTTCCATACACGGCATTAGAGAATATTGATGGGTAGAGTGCCCTGTGCTATACACCAGGTCCTTGTTGACCATCTATTTTACACATCATTGTGTATCTATGTCAATCCAAATCTCCCGATTTATCCCTCTCCCTCTGTCTCCCTTGGTGACCACAAGTTTGTTTTCTACATCTGTGACTACTTCTGTTTTGTAAATAGGCTCATTTGCACCATTTTTTAAAGACTCCACATATAAGCAATATATGACATTTGTCTTTCTCGTATACTTTAAATGGGTCAGTCATAAGGCATGTGAACTATAGACCTTCCTCCCACCTACCATCCAAGCTTTCACATTACATGGTTTCAGTTACCCCCAGTCAACCTCAGTCTGAAAACATTACATGGAAGGTTCCAGAAATAAATAACCCAAACGTCTTAAATCGTGCAGAGAGCTGAGTAGTGTGAGGAAACCTCACACCGTGGTGCCCCATCTGGGAGGGGACTCATCCCTCTGTCCGGCAGACCCCACCCCGGCAGTGACTCAGTGCCTGTGACCAGCGGACCCTTATTTGACTTAATAATGGCCCCAGACCACAAGAGCAGTGATACCGGCAATTCAGATACACCAAAGAGAAGCTGTTAAGTGTTTCCTTTAAGCAAAAAGGCAAAAGTTCTCAGGGAAAGAACTGAGATTGTGAAGATCCCTGGTAAGAATGAATCATCCATCTATGAAATTGTGTAGAAGGAAACAAACTCATGCTGGTTTTGCTGTTGGACCTCAAACCACAAAAGTTATGGCTACAGTGTGTGGTAAGTGCTTAGTTAAGACAAAAAAGGCATTAAATTTGCACAATAAGGTATGTTGTTATAATAGTTATATTTTATCATTAGTCATTGTTAATCTCCTACTGTGCCTAACAAACTTCATCACAGACTACACACAGGGTTCAGTACTATCCTGCACAGTTTTGGACATCCCGCGGCAGGCCGTGGAACCCATCCCCTGTGGATAAGTGGGGACTTTGGACTTCCCTTGTGGCTCAGCTGGTAAAGAATCCTGCAATGTGGGAGACCTGGGTTCAATCCCTGGGTTGGGAAGATCCCCTGGAGAAGGGAAATGCTACCCACTCCAGTATTCTTGCCTGGAGAATTCCATGGTCTGTATAGTCTATGGGGTCACACAGAGTCAGACATGACTGAGTGACACTTTCCGGTATATCTCAATAAAGCTGCTATTTTAAAAAGTTAAGATTTGATAAAACATCTAAAAAAGGAGAAACAAACATTTTTAAAAAGCTATAAATAAAAAAAAACTCAGCCTTCTTTAAAAAAAAACAGAGGATGGGAATACTTCTCAAGTTATTATTTATAATACATATTTCCTACTTCCAAAATAAGCCTCAAGACAGCTCATAACAAGAAAGTCCACACACGAGACTTGAATGGGATGGTCAGGGATCATGCCAAACCAGCACTGAGAATGCAATCACTTGGCCACTGTGAGGACTCAGACTGGCTCTCTGCCTGATCTTCCAGGAATGTACAGGAGACAGCATTTTTATTTCTTAAAAGATAATAAACACGTGATTCACACAATCGCTCTCCAGCCAGCCAGGCCCTGGGCCAAGGTGGACAGAGCATAGCAGGGACGCCTGCTTGGCTCACTTCACCAGACAGGCGCTGGGCTGAGGCGGACACAGCAGGGCAGGGATGCCTGCTTGGTTCACCTCAACAGCCAGGCGCTGGGCCGAGGTGGACACAGCAGGGTAGGGACGCCTGCTAGGCTCACTTCAGCCAGGTGCCACAGGCGGGTAGGAAGATGGCCAGCATGCCCTCCTCTCTGTCACATCACGGGTGTCTGTCAGGGGGAGCTGGGCCTCAGCATCAGGCAAATAGGGTCTGAACCCATGTGCGCCTCATGGCTGCCCAACCTGAGGTCCCTGCATGTCTCTCACTCTCCCCACAGGAGTGTATCAGAGCTCAGGGTGGATGTGTGCCTGACCCCGGGCAGTACTTGCAGGCACCGTGTACTCCATCGATAGAAGTTACTAAAACTACCACCCACTGCCACTATCAGGAGCAGAGGCTACAGCCAGTGACCAACAAACAGCACTCATGCCGGGAATCCACTCTTAACTCTCCACCTGCTCTCGCGACCTCAGGACAGGGGCCCACATACACCAGCAGTTGTGACCACACGTGGCCTGGCTCTGTTACCTCATCGATGGCAGACTCCTCGATCAGTCGGGGGGCGTCAGAGGACAGCAGGCCGTGGGTCGCCATCACGAAGATCTTATATGCACCCCTCTCCTTTAGGGTCTCCGCGGCGGCCAGGAAGCTGTCTACATCGTCGATGATGTCATCCTGGCATTACAGACGCAGCAAAAGACATGAGCACTTGTGCAAAGGTGAGTCTAGACTACAGGGAGAGAGGAGGGACTAAAGACATGTGCAGAGGTGAGTCTAGACCATGGGGAGAGGGGAAGGGCTGATTCTGCTGTGACATGCTCACTGTCCACAGTGACCCGGTCCAGACAGCAAGGTCACTGGCTTCCGTGGTGTTCCCTCTGGGCCTCCCAGCTGGACAGTCATGACAGCTGTCACTTCAGGGCCCCTGGGCCCTTGTCTCTCTGTCCCTATTCTCCAGAGCAATGCTCCACCAGGCAGGGGCTCCAGGAACACGCACCCGTACGTTCATGCCCAGTATGGCATCTGTAGGAGATGCTTTGACTCCACCAGGTTCTTTCCCCTCTGGTGCTACTTTTCCTATTTTCCAAATTTTCTCCACTGAGTGGATGGGAAATGGGGTCTTATATATACTTTTATAATGGAAAAACAATAATTACTATTAACAAAATACACAGTCTAGTGGTTTCTAATCTCACAGACTCCCAGAACGAGGTAATAGAAAATACATATGGTGGTTTCTGTCCCTGGATCCTGACAGCAGGCTTCTAAAGCACCTGTAGATGCCTCAGTAATGAGAGCACGACAAGAGTCTCTTGTCTTTATTCAGTGACTCTGGAGGGCTCCTGGGCGGGGCTGGTCCCAGAAAGACCAGGCCATGATGAGAAGCTCGGCATTTTCAGCCCCCTCAACTCCTCCAGAGAGGGGAGGGGGCTGGAAATGGAGTTAATGACCCCCTCACAGGGTTCAGGGAGCTTCTGGGAAGTTAGTGTCTGCCTGGGTTCTGAGAGCTGTTCTAGGACATGTCCGAGTCCAAGGAGGGTCCTGGGAGTCATGTCGGACAGAAGTTGGAGGTCACCTAACAACTCCCAGTTTTTAGACCAAAGCAAACATTTAGCCTAAGACACCCACCAACTTAAGTGAGACTTACCTGGCCATAGCACGATCCCCTGCACAATTAACAAGGTGAGCTGACAAGCTAATGAGGGTAAATACGACAATCAGTAACACAGAAGAGGCACACGTACCACGATGATGGCGATCCTTCCTCCCACGTCACCAACAACTGTGATTGGGGGCTTTTCTTTAGGAATCAGCACTGGTCAGAAGAGAACACACACACAAGTTTCTGCATCTGATTTCCTGACATCCTTTTATCTGCCTAAAAGCAGAGCCCCCCAAAAGAATTCAGTTGTCATAAATCCTGATCCAGGAACAACACAGAAGCCTGGCTCTCATCACCCAGACCAGAGGTCAGTGCTGCTCCTACACAGACATTGCCACACACGGTCCTGTCTCCCCTCGCCCTTCCCAAGAGCCATTCGTCTTCCCATCAGTGCCCCTGCCCTACTCCCCTTCCCCTAAGCCCCAAATTCCAACCTTCTCCTAAAATCTGCCTTCTCTCTTGCTAATCTGTTGACAGTTTTTATTTCACTGCAGCCTCCAGAGCAGTGAACCTAAAGAGGCTAGAGGAAAAGCTTTTTCTCCCTAAGAGACTCAAACAAAAGCAGTATTTTTTCTTCCCATTGAAAAGGCATTATTAAAGCTTGAAAGAAGTTTCTTAAAGACAAAAAGAAACTTATGCACAACTCCAACAGCCAGTCACAACCACATTCCTCATGTTCCCTCCTGGCCCAGGCAGAAGACAGTGAATAAGACACTCTGCCTTATTCACACACATTCCTCAGGTTTTCTCTTGTTTCCAGTCAATTCTTTCAAAGGGCTGCATAATGAGTTGTGCTGATGCGACATTCTTCACCAAGGCCTCCCCTCTGAACTATTTACTTGTCTAGTATTTTGCATCAGAAATAACAGGACCGTGAATAACTTGTGCACCTAAAGCTTTCTGCCCGCGTTAACCTCTGCTCCAGCACACACTACTGAGTGGACGAATGCGATCCCTGTTGGGCCACAAGTGAGTCTAAACTGGGCATGTTCATGGGTCTTGCTGGGATCAGACAGACCACTGCTAAGAGGCCATCAGAGATGCATTTGTCACAGTCAGAAAAAGGTACCAGTTTTTGTCAACTTAAGAAACAAAAAGACAAGAAGTACTTCACATTCAATAAAGAAATTAAGTCAGCCTTAAAGGCAAAGAGGAAGTGACCCAGGACTGCGTGCTTACTGGGGATCTCCAGGCTGGGGTGGATGGCGGCTGCGCTCCTGACCATGGGCGGGGAGTGCCGCCCGTCCACCAGGTCGGACTCTGCGTCCTGTGCTTCCCCATGAATCACCGCAATGCCCAGTCGCAGGCGCTCGGCGAAAGACTGGGCCCTAGGGAGAGCAGGAGATGGGTCACAGCCACGCAAAGTGGTTTCTGCTCATGTCTACAGAGAAGTATCACAGGAACTCAGAAAATGAAGTTTCCCAAGAGATTAGTAAAAAAGGAGAATGAAACAACCTCAGCTTCTGGGAATCAAGGACAGAGTGTGGAGAACCCACATGACACACATCCCCCTGCGGGGCCTGTGGGTACGCAGCCAGCGAGTGAGCCTGTGTTATAGGCTAGTTCACCTCCCTGAAGCCTCTGCTTCCTCACTTGGAGCTATGCACTCTACCTGCTCACCTGGTTAACAGTGAGAACCAACACATGAGACAAAACATGCTAACTACTCAGCAGAGTATTGAAGGCTCAGATGATAGGGAGCATTTTTTAGTAATAAAGTATTTTTAGATGAAGGGATGTACAATGTTTGTAGTACATAACACTACTGCACACTGAATAGACTGTGGTGTAGTGTAAACGTAACTTTATATGCACTGGGAGACCAAACGTCCATGTGACTCACTTTACTGAGACACTGTTTTCTGGAACCCACACCACCCCCAGGGCATGTCTCTGTCTGACACCCTTTCAGTCAAACACAACTGCAAGTTCTGTACCCCTGTCTTATCAGTTACTCCAGTTACATGGACCTCTCAGCACTGCCCCATTTGCACAACTGCAGTGTCTGAAAGTTTTTTAAAATGTCACTTTTTAACACATACCAATCAGTGGCTTCTTGGCTGGATAGAATTATCTGTTAATAAATTACTGAGTTCTCTGAATAAAAGGCAGTAAACAACCTCAAAATATATTCGCTGGTATTTCCCCCCGCTCCCCTCCGCCCCGCTGGTATTTTAAATCACAGATGTGAAGATGAACCACCAGCAGCTACCCAAGTGCAGGGCTAGGACTCTACAGTCCTGGACGGTTTCTGGTAGGAAATGTGACCAGCAGTCAGAGACAGGGACTGGGACAAGGGAGGATGATGAATCATCACCTAATAAATGAAATCGGCAGACAGGCTGTGCACTGTCAGTCCCCAGGTCAAAAAGCAAGGGCCAGAGTGGGAGCTGCTGCAATGGGACCCAGAACACTGGAATTCAATGGGCTGGACTCAGGTGTGGCTTTGCACAGCAGCTGCGAGCGCCCACCTACCTCTTGGCTGAGGCCGGAGACTTGGCCACGATGACTGCGTTCCTGTAGTCTGGGATCTGAGAAGAGGAGGGGCTAGGTGACTGCCATATCTCAAAAGGCTGCTCACACCAGCTCCACAGTCAATAAAAAGCAATACCCCAACACACTCAGAAATGTCAGCTGGTCACGTGAACATTTTCCAAAAAGAGAGAAAACTCAAAGTAAATTTCCTCTTTGAAAAATGAAAAAATGCTTACCTAAGAAAAAAAATTATCATCAAGGCATGAATCTCATAGACTTATTTTAAGAAAAAAGTAGAGTTAATCAGTAATAAGCTCATATCTAAGTGGCAGCAAAGATGTTTTTATAAAGTCAACAGGAAGTCCTCTCATGGACCCCTGTTACATGTAATTTCACAGCCCAAGGATGATATTCACTGTACCTGAATCAAAGGCATTTGTCAACTTCTAAACAAGTGACTACTTAATGTAACTGTCACAGCTGATGAAGAAAGAAACCAAACTGCTAACAGAATCAGCCCAGCACTCTTTACAAAGATACTAAGAGCCCTTAAGAAAACAAGCAAATGTCGGTCTACATTGAAGCCTTTCACTTTGAGCACCTGAGTGATCTGGATGAAGATGACAACAACTGAAGAGACATGCAGTACCAACTCCTCAGAGCTCACAGGACAGAACTAGCAATGCTTTTCAGCTAAGCAGTAATCTGCTGTTTCTGATTTCATCTGGGCAATATTTTCAAATCATGTGCTTAAAATCTAATCACTTCATTAAATTATGTTATTCCATTCAGATATGTCCCCATTGATTTCTCACAATTATGCTAGATTGGTGAATTGGAACATAAGCACTCACCACCATCTAGAATATTACACAATGCCTAGCATTGGAAAAAACTAAATAATCAATACTCAGTAAACAAACAAAACCCTGATGAATTTGAAGAAGGTTCTATTATAGATACACCTACTTGGATAAGATGTCTCTCCATTTGGTCCATCTATACACATAAATAGCACAAAATATTTTCATTTTTGCATGTTCCTCATCTTTCCTGGGAGTCTTTATGAACTGTTTTATGTACTTCCATGCCTCATCGAACATCATCAAACAGCATCAAACCCAACCCAGAGGAGAAATAACTAATGAAGGAACAGTTACTAAAGCAAAGAAAAGGAAACTTTAAAAGAAAGGACTTTTTAATAAAAACAGGTCTACTTTCTCCTTGGGACTCAAAACAGGAAATCATGTGCATAAAGAAAGAACAAGTTGTTATGAAGGTGGAGTTTATTATGGTCAAAGTAAGAAGGTCAGCAGCTGGCTGGTTCAGGGGCAGGATGGACACGGCTGTAAGAAAATGTCAGAGAGAGCAAGCCATGGAATTTACCCACCAATTCAGTACAGGAAAAAGCAAAATTTGAACAAAAAACAGTTAAATAATATGTAGACTAGATACAAGACTTTCAATATCTAATAGCTCCTGAAGAAAGAAATGAAAAATCCAAATTACAGAAAACAAAATTCGTAGGGAATAGAAAGGCCCCACTGAGCATCCAGTGAGATGGATGAAGATGGTCACCTCACTGGATGCTGGTTCATGGGTCATAGATGTCCTCGGACATGCCATGCAGAGATGTCAAAACCACAGCAAAAAGATAAAGTACTATTTCAAGCGGGGAGTTCTGTCCAAGTGCAGATTAATACAGCCCTTCAGACAATCTTAATTTTTGCAGTATTTAGTAAAATATTAAAAATGTAGATACTTTTCAATCACGATTTCACTTCCTAGTATATCTCAGAAGAGCATTTGTTTAAGTACTGAGAAAAGCAGGTACTGCTTTTAGTACTGAAGTACTTTGAGTACTGAAAAAAGAATTTTCAGTGCAACATTATTTAAAAATTTTTTGAAAATAAAATATTTCACTTAAAAGAATGAAAAATTTGGTACCCCCCCAAAAAAAGAATGAAAAATTAAACCACCTAATATCCAGCCAAGAGGGAAATGGATGAAATACCTGTGGCTCTTTTAAACTTGTGCTTTAACACCTAAACAGGCAGCTACTTACATTTAAATTAACTAAACTCAAATGAAATCAAGGATTCCATTCTCTAGTCACACTGGGCAGTTCAGCTGCCATTCTGAAGGCAGAGTGAACATTTTCACTGGCATAGAAAGTAATATCCATTACAGTTGGTCTGAACTTTGGAATACTGTGTAACAATCATGAAGAAAGAGGTAATCCTATATATCTAAACATGGAAAGACCACCAGATACTAGTTCAGGAAAGGAAAGAAAGTTACGATTTGGATTCCTGTGGTGGCAGGCAAAGGATGGCCTGCCGCAGGACTTAATGGAGTCATGGCAGTGCCCTTTGTGGAAGACTGGGACTTGGTACAAACCCTGGGAGAAGGTGCCTATGGAGAAGTTCAACTTGCTGTGAATAGAAGAACTGAAGAAGCAGTTGCAGTGAAGACTGTGGATATGAAACGTGCCATAGACTGTCCAGAAAATATTAAGAAAGAGATCTGTATCAACAAAATGTTAAATCATGAGAATGTAGTGAAATTTTACGGTCACAGAAGAGAAGGCAATATCCAGTATCTATTTTTGGAGTACTGCAGTGGGGGAGAACTTTTTGATAGAATAGAGCCAGACATAGGCATGCCTGAACAAGACGCTCAGAGGTTCTTCCATCAACTTATGGCAGGGGTGGTTTATCTGCATGGTATTGGAATAACTCACAGGGATATTAAACCAGAAAATCTCCTATTGGATGAAAGGGATAACCTCAAAATCTCTGACTTTGGCTTGGCAACCGTGTTTCAGCATAATAATCGGGAGCATTTGTTGAACAAGATGTGTGGTACTTTACCATATGTTGCTCCAGAACTTCTAAAGAGAAAAGAATTTCATGCAGAGCCAGTCGATGTTTGGTCCTGTGGAATAGTACTTACTGCAATGTTGGCTGGAGAATTGCCATGGGACCAGCCTAGTGATAGTTGTCAGGAATGTTGTGATTGGAAAGAAAAGAAAACATACCTCAACCCTTGGAAAAAAATTGATTCTGCTCCTCTAGCTCTGCTACATAAAATCTTAGTTGAGAACCCATCAGTAAGGATTACCATCCCAGACATCAAGAAAGATAGATGGTACAACAAACCACTCAAGAAAGGGGCAAAGAAGCCCCAGGCTACTTCTAGTGGTGTATCAGAGTCTCCTGGTGGATTCTCTAAACATATTCATTCCAACTTGGACTTCTCTCCAGTAAACTGTGCTTCTAGTGAAGAAAGTGTGAAGTACTCCAGTTCTCAGCCAGAACCACGGACAGGCCTTTCCTTATGGGACACCAGCCCTTCATACATTGACAAACTGGTACAAGGGATCAGCTTTACCCAGCCCACTTGTCCTGATCACATGCTTCTAAATTGTCAGTTGCTTGGCACTCCAGGATCCTCACAGAACCCCTGGCAGCGCTTAGTCAAAAGAATGACACAATTTTTTACCAAATTGGATGCAGACAAATCTTACCAATGCCTGAAAGAGACTTGTGAGAAATTGGGCTATCAGTGGAAGAAAAGTTGTATGAATCAGGTTACTGTATCAACAACTGATAGAAGAAACAATTTTAGCTGATTTTCAAAGTGATCTGGTAGAAATGGATGAGAAGATCTTAGTTGACTTCCGGCTTTCTAAGGGTGATGGATTGGAATTCAAGACACTTCCTGAAGATCAAGGGGAAACTGAGTGATGTTGTGAGCAGCCAGGTTTGGCTTCCTGTCACATGATAGATCCACTGGTTCTGGGATTCCTGGAGAATATAGTGCTGCTATGTGGACATTATTCTTCCTAGAGAAGATTATCTATTCTGCAAACTGCAAACAGTAGTCCCTGAAGAGTTGTCTTCCCTCTAGCCAAACATTTTCCAATTCTTCTGTATATTCTTCATACAAATAATATCTGTATCTTAACTGTAAGTGAAACTTTGGGGAAAGGGTGGATAGAATTCATTTAGATAGTCCTTCATGTGCATTTAGCATCTGAATTGAGACCCGCCTGGTGGAAACCATGCTCTGGGGTTACATGGGTTTACCAGCATTTATACCAATATAATGAAAAATTATACTCTTGTCCCATTCTACCAAAACATTTGGTTCCATCCAAAAAGTACTATTTCCTGCACATTGACTTAATCACATGGATAAATTAGTAAAAAAAAAAAAAAAAACAGGCTCCTGAGGAGAACTTTGAGCCAATAAAGCTTGGGTTCCCACTGAAAAAAAAAAAAAAAACCTTGTTATTTGTGGGGCAGTAAATTTATCAGTCAGTCTGAAGTAAAGCCAGCTTCAAAATGTATACCCCAAGATTTGTACTTAAAAGGGCCTGACCAGGTACATAAAGCTGTTTTTGAACAATAATTAAAATTGCAAGTTAGTATTTTTTTTCTGGTATAGTTAATATGTATGATTGGGCTTTCAAATAGAAGTTGAGCATAAATTCTAGTGCTTAACTATCTTTACTTGGAATTACTGTTGCACATTTTAAATATTTTTCTATATTATTTTCTACTTTCACAGCCATATTTTAATTCTTTATTACAGAAATAAATTCTATTTTGAAAATGGAAGAAAAAAAAAAGAAAGTTACATAACAACAGGAAAGGAAAGAAAGTTTCAGAACAACACAAACAATATATCAACTCCTTTTTTTTCCCCCCATACAAATCAGTATCTACAACTACGTGTATATTGTAGAGGGAGAGAAGGTAAACTCAGAAGGCACTAAGAGGATTCAGGATTTAGGACAGACCCCAGGCTGGAGCTAGGGAGTGCCCTGCAGAGGGTCCAGCCCAGGCTGGTGATTCGAGGCACCTGAGGTCCAAGAGGAAAAAGAGCAACTTTCAGAGCTCTGCAGATGAAGAGTTTCAAGTATACCAGTTACATTCATAAAGTCAACTTTAAGCAGAACACATCAATGTTAACCCTTCATCGAGCCCAAGGAGATGGAGATGCATGTTTCAGCCTTAAATAGAAGGTTGAGAAGTCTGAGCTAACTCACCTCCTCCTGAATGTACTGTAAGAGGAAGGGAGATGCTCTCAAGTTGTCAACAGGAATATTGAAGAAGCCCTGGATTTCCTTCTGGTGTAAATCCATAGTAATGAGGTGAGTCAGACCTTTGAAAACAAAGCAGACACACACACACAAAGGTTGTTTCATGACCAGTTGCACTGTATGAATAAGCACTACATAAAACAACACACTATATGGAATAAATTACTATCTAAAATTACTCTCATCAAAAACTCAGCATTTTTATTCCTCAGATTCTTAGTACAATGAGATTATGAGATAATAGAAAATATAAACGCTGGTCTCTGCCCCCAGGACAGAACTCCTAACCCCTTGTCACTCCCTCAGTGCTAAGAGCACCGGGAGCATCTCTTGTTGTCACATCTGGTCTGTGACCCTGTCTCTGACACAAAGCTCCTGAAAGCTCTGGAGACGGGCTCCTGGATGTGGCTGGTCACCTTGACGGGAAGCTTGTCATTACCAGGCTCCCCACCCCCGCTACTGTCCAGAGAGGGGGAGGGACTGGACATAGAGTTGATGAATGACCACGCCTCCCTGAAGCCCCAAGAGCAAGGGCTCTGGGGAGTATCCGGGTGGTGAACATGGGGATGCCCCCTCTCCTAAGCAGGTGGGAACCTGGGCTTTCCCTCCTCAGAAGGGAAAGACTGGTGATTATTCTTACAGAGAGATGCATGGTTTTCACACCAATTTAAAACAGCCAAAATCACAACGATGAAGAAACGCCTCTGATAATTCTATGAGAGAGATTCCCTCTCCCTGAAGTTGTGTCAACAGGCGTGATAAAGCCAGATTAAGACATAACGTCTTCAGTTATTAAGGTAAACCTCACATGCCTGTAACTGGGAAAAATGAAGAATCTTCATCCCATTGGCTCCTTGAAGGATATTTGAAATGGAAATACTTACATACACATACATACATATAATTCAATTGGAAAAATTTTTTAAAGCAAAATATGCCCAAAAGAGCAAGAAAGCCTGGTGGCCCATCACGAGCAAGACTAGGAGGGCAGGGGACCTTCTCGGGAGCTCAGTGGCCCATCTGCTCCCTTCAGCAAAGTTCTCAGCAGGGTGTGCCTGGAGGTCACTGGGGTTCAGGTCTGGTCATTTTCTGTTTTGGTTTTGTCTTCTTTGAAATGCTACAGGAGAAATTTATTCTGCATTAAGTGTGTTAAAAGGTAGTGATATGGGGACTTTTTATTCTTTTCTATCTGTGCAACTCTGTGATGTGTGCCTTCTATGGTCACATACACAAGTACACATTTGTGTGCGTGTGCACACACACAGAGTAACAACTGTGAAATTATTTAGAAACAAGGGGAGACACTTAGGATGTTACTGAAAAATGCACAACACAAAATAACACATAGGGTTTGCAAAATATGCCAACCTATCCTGGGAAAGAGAAGAGGTGAAAATAAAGAGAGTTGCTGTGTTAAGAGTAGCTGATTCCAATGCCTTTTCTACTTTAATAACAGCCTCAATAGGACTGCCACCTGCCATTTCAACTTTTTAATCTTTTAAACAAAGACTTTAGGAAAAAATAAATTGTCCTCATGAGCTTTGTGTTCAGAGAGTTTGGACCAGGAGCAAACTGTCAGCATGGGCGTCTGCTACAGATTCACCATCTGGAAGCTACATCACTCTGGGCACTCTGTCCAATACTCTGAGTCAGTGAAGATGAGGCTTTACGATTCCTCAGGTAAAAATGCAACTCCAAGACCCCCATCAACCATCAACGCCGGCCCCTCACCAGCTTTGCACATCATGGAGGCTAGCAGCTTGGAAACGATGGAGCCCCTCTTTCTCATCTTGCACTGCTTGCTGTAGGGGAAGTAGGGGACCACGCCGATGATGCTCTTGGCACAGGAGGTCTTACAGGCATACACCATGATCAGGAGCTCCATGATGGTGGTATTCACGTCCCTGCAACCCAAGGGCGAAGACCAGCAGGGAGGGTGTCAGACTTGCCACGACCTCTCTCAGTCCCAGCTAAACATCAGCAAGATGCCATGCCCGCCTCAGCCAAGACAGGCTCCAGACACACAGAAGAGACAAACACCACTCTCCTCAGGCCTCCATCAGTAGCCCCCACGCTGCCTCTCAGCCAATGACTCTACTTCCTTTCCCACCAAGAACAGCACTGTTCACTCCAGTTTACTCAGGACAGAGCCCCAGAGGCATCCTTAGCTGCCCTCCTGTCCAGACACAGGCAGCATCTCACACTCCAGTGCTGCCTGGGCTGAGGCCCACCTCCCCAAGGGATGGCAACAGCTGCACCCACACGCTCCCCGCTCCCTCCCCCTGTGCCTGGAAGTCTGTCTGCAGCCACTCTCTGCATAGCACCTGACTGATCTTAGAGTCACGGTCAGACCACAGACTCTCTGCCCAGAACCCAGAGATGGTTTCCCACTCAGCCCGTGGCAGACGCCCGAAGCCCCACCGGGTTCCTGAGGCCCCTTCTGGATCCGCCCTGCTCCCTCTCTGCACCCCACTCCTCCTCCATGCCCCCTCCATGCCAGTCCTCACGCCACCTGAGGGCCCTCCATCCAGGGCCCCCCGTTCCTGCCTGGAATGACCTCCTCGCCAGCTGGCACTGGCTTCCAGTGTTTGTCAGAGGTCACCCACCGATCCACCCTCACTCCAACCTCCTGCCACCGTCACGCCAGTTTCCGTGCACACTGTGCTGGTTTTCCCCACAGACCTTGTCACCTCCTGACAAACTGGATAATCTACTTGTTCATTATGTCACTTGCATGTCACAGAACACAGGTTCCATGAAGATCAGGATCTGTGATCTATTCTAATCTTTCATGCTTCTTGCACACCTGACACATATTTGTGAATAAGTGAGTGCATGAAAGAGCAATGGGAAGCCTGGAGCTTTCGGGTGAGCAGGTTCTCTGGATTACAGAAAACTTAAGTCAATGGACATAATTTTCTTCACTTAAACATTTTCTTAAACTTTTAGTAAAAAGAGGCACTTATTTTACATATAAATGTACATTTAGCATGCAGCAATTTTTGGAATCTCTAGGCTAAAAACTGATGTACTATACAAACTCATTTCTAGACATTATTAAAAACTGCTGAGTTAAAATTTTCATCTAAGAGCCTTCAGGGACATGTGTAGACAGAGTGGCGTTTGATAAAGGAGTGGTGCAGATACCTCACCGCACTGAATCTTCTACCCCAGTGCACACGCCTGTGACTCGACAATCTCTAGAACACACAGCTCGCAGACATCACGGCAGACAGAGACATACCTGCCTTCACAACCGTCTCTCTTCTCCTTTAACTTACGTGGCAGGACAGCACACAGTGATCACATTTAAATTACCTGCAGGAAAAGCTTTAAGAACCCCAACTAAGTGAACACCTCTCCTGCTGCTTGTTCTCTTTGGGAACTAGTAGAGGTTCCCTATAAGCTCTATGAGACTCTGGCTCCTGACAGTGAACGTCACAGGTGCTCACTGTCCCATGCCTCTCCCCCAGTGTGCAGCTATTCCCACACAGAAAGGACACAAGAAAGTCAACAGCTATGTCAGAAAGATCAGTTGAGTAAGATCAGGTTAGTTTTAAAACAATCTTAGCTCTTCTTGTCTGGGTAACTCTTATTATACTAGACATTCAAGCCCAAACAGAGACCCAGAAAGCAACAACATTTCTGGTGGATAAGCTACTCACTTTGAAACAGTCTGAATGATGAAAACATCTTTTCCCCTCACAGATTCTTGAATTTGTACTCTTGTTTCTGGCAGGAAAAAGGGAAATGAGAAGAAGGGTGAACAAGGCACATCATTTTTAAAAAACCCACAAGAAAATACGCACCATTTCCCAAGGTTATAAACTATGGAAACTGGAACTGTTACAAACTCACTACAAGGCTTTAGATTCCATGGAGGATAATGAACACACTGTGATTAACACACTTTGAAAATGCTACCTGACACCATGGCCACACCAGACACATGCACTCTGCCTCAGGGGACAGATTCAACCCAGGCCAAGCTCATGCTTCTGTCAGCTGACAGCAACTGCCTTCGGGTGAGGTCTGAGGATGAGCCTCTAAGTTCCCAGCTGTGACCGGCCCCAGATTCTCTATGTAGCTGGTATTAGTGGGGGTGGGAACACCATGATGGCCCACCCCTGTCTGCCTTCCTGCAGACAGAACTCACTGGACACTGAGGCTGACTGCTCAGTCACAGAGGGTGAGGGCCGGGCTGGAATGGCAGGTACCACAAAAAAGCCATCACAAGGGCACAGGATCACTCACCTCGGTCAGGCTCCTGATAAACCTGCACCTTGCCCATCTCCACCCCCAGCCGCCTAGAGAAGAGAAAGAGGGAAAAAGCGGAAACAGTAATAAAACAGATACAACATCTTTACTTTTAAGATGATTTAGAGATTGATGAAAATAAAACAAATTTTAAAAACAGAGATATTGCTATTATAAAATTTAAGGTGGATCTCAAATTGTTTGGTCACCTAGCCCATCACACCTCCACCCTATACCTACCCAGTCCTGGGGTTCCCTGCGCTCCAGTCACATTCCTGTTGTCCCCTTTCTGCCTGGAGGGCTCTGCCCCAACTCCCACTTGCTGCCATTTCCTGTTTCTCAATTCACATTCTACCCACAGGTTTACAGGCACTTGAGCGCCTGAGCTAAGGCGGCAGGACCTGCCCTGTCTGGTTTTCCTGTGCAGATCACTGCCTGAAGTTTCCCTGTTTGTGTGTCTGTTGACTTCCTCTTTGACTGGCGCCTCCACTAAGAAGGAAGGCTTCTGACCGGCTTGTTCACTGTTTTACCCCAGTATCTAGATCAAAGTATAGTACACAGCAGGGGTTCAATAGTTACTTAATAAGTTACTGAAATTATACTGAACTGTAACCTGTGAACTACCTTCATATAGCATAGACACTTCATTGTTCTCTGTACTCAAATAGCTCTATACAAATGTAGCAGCTCACACCATCACTGGTACTCAGGAGTCCCTGGTAAATGTTTCCTGAATCCATGTGTAGGACGGATGACATGCAGATTCACTGTAAAATATTTGCTGTCAAAGTTAACACCAGCGCCAATATGAATATCAAACATAAACCACCACTGAACAAGCACAGACTTTAACAGTGTGATTATACTCACTCAGCGATCTTCTTTGAAAGCTCCATACACGATGAATTCGAATTTGCTGAAAACAACACCAGACCCCCTTTGGTTATGTTCATCTTGGCTTCTGATTCAGGTGGCGCCACACAAAACATCAAAACCTTCTTGGTTTTCCAATTCTCAGCGCCTAGAAAGATACCAAATATGTTCAAAACTGTCAAATGAGATGAAATACACCTAAATATTTTTGAACAGCAAATGAGCTGAAGGAAATTAGTTTTTACCATAATAGAGTCTTTCACATTGAACAGGTATATGGACAAGTAGGGAGTCTATTTGAATTTATGGAAAGATGTCATCACACGACTCAATTATTTTCTTGACTACTGGGAATAAATGATAAACTTACAAGAAAGGTGGAGCTGAAGAGCTCAGTGTTTTACTGTTTGCTGCTTAAAGTCAATTACGACAACCTCCTTTTAGTTTCTGACAACAAAATTCCTCCTGGATTAACACACAGAAAAATGGCAGAGCCATTAGCAAGGACAAGAACTGACTGATCCTTAAACAATGAATAAATAACCCATCCACACCCAGCTTTCCCTGTAATACCTGTTTACCACAAACCCCCTCCTCGGCCTTGCAGCTGTCCTGGGTCCTGTCTAAGCCTGACCAGGTCATCGGCACTTTCCTCAACTGGAACACAAGGTTGAGCAGATTACAATAATCTTGAAGGAAAGTGACTCAGCCACATAACTGACCAGCAGCAAGGCACACAGAAAGACCCTGGCCTAGAGGCCTTCAGAGTCATCCACATGTTCCTCCTCCTTCCACTCTGGGGCGAGTATCCTGATGGAGAAAGGCAGGCAGAGGACTGGGTGCAGGATCAGCAGTCCAGGAGGCCTGGGGGGATGGAGGAGTCTTCCAAGCAAGCCGGCCACATTAATGCAGCCGTTATGTTTATGCGGCTGGCTCTTGGAAGGCTGGTGGAGGGAGCAAAAGCCTGGAGCTCATATCTTACTTATTATTCTTAAATTTTAATTACACAAGTACGTTCTTGTAAAAAACTGAAACATGAGAGTTTAGACTAACGTCACCAGCTCTGATCCGATCCCAGGCTCCTCCCACCTACCTCCCTGGAAGAGACAGTTCTTATTACTGGTTTGATACAGATACCATCGGGCTGTTTCCACATTCACACATGTGATCCCCATTTTAAAAAAATGTATAAAAATTCATTTGTAACATAAAAAGGGACCATCATACAAATCTATCTCTAATCTGCTTTATTTTGAAACAATATATTTGAGAACCCAAGCAGAAAGGAAAGACCCACTGTGCACTTTTTAACTGTTGCCAGGGCTCCCTGGTGCAGCCACGTCACCAACCCAAACAGGCCTCCCTGTGCATGCATCTTCCTCTGCAGCAACTGCCAGGGGGAGCCAAGGGGGCACGGGTGGGTGACTCATGGTCCCACAAGCAGGCTAGGAGAAAGCACTTCTTCAGAGGCCTTTCACAATGGGAAACATGGGCCATCCCACTGGACTTGGCCTATTAATTACAAACAGAAACATATGAACAACTGGCCAAAGCCCTAAGGAGACCAAGAAGGACCACTGGTGTGTATACCGGAAAGTGGCTTTGGAGCAGGGATGTGCAAGGTACATGCAGGCCAAAACAGGTTATTTCTGTAAATAAAACTATACTGGAACACAGCCAAGCTCACTATTTACAAACTGTCTATGGATGCAATGGTAGAGTTAGGTGTGGGCTACAAAACCTAAAATATTACCTGGCCCCCTACAGAAAATGCATGCTGACCCAGCTTTACAGCATAGCGTCTGGGCAGGGGGACTGGTGCAAGTGAAAGAAAGAATACTATTTAACCCTCAACACTCAGAATTGGAGGAGATCCTGGTTGTCTTCTAACACCACCTCTCAACCCCTCTATGGCTGTATTTAGGAACAGAGGTCTGTTCCTAAACAGAATACAGCTTATTCTCCTGTAGTTATGAACACAAGCTTTAGAGTCAACCCAGGTTTGCATCTTAGCTCCTATTTGCCCTCACCTTACTGCAAGATCTCACATAAACTAACCTCTCTCACCCTCATCCATGCCACTGTGAATACTGACCTTACAGGGTCACTGTAAGATTAGCTCCTGCACAGCACTTAACACACTGCCCCACATACAGGATACCCTTGGTAAATTGAAGCTACGAGGAGTCAGCTTGTAATATGTTCCCTATCTACTGAACAAGCACGTAATATGCATAGGGGTGGCAACCTTTTTACATCCCCCAGTCTTCAAATAAGAAGCTTCTTAAAGGAGAACGGTGTTCTTGAGTGAACATCTAACACTGAGAATCAGTGTCTGAAGGGAAGGAAGAGTCCTCAGAAGTAACTCAGTCCATCTCTAGGACTCCTACCAATGAGCCACTCCAGACAACTGAACAGTCCGGACCCAATGCCTACGCCTTGAGGGATATCCAAGCCATTCCAAATCCTTCCTCAGAATACACAATGATTACTTTCCTGGCAGCTGCCATCTCTGGGCCTTGTCCTTTCCTTGAAGATTTATGGGAAACCTCAAACTCCTTCTCCCCTCGGCAGTCCTCAGCCTATCTCAAGATGGCGCTCTTGGCCTGGGCCTGGCATTACTGATCATGGTTTAAGTCCTTCATCACTGCCCATGCTCTCGAGGGTTCCAGTCCAGGCAGCAGGTTTCAATAGTCAAAACCTAAGACCCCAACATGCCACAGGCAGGGAGATTGTTTGGGAACAGGTATCAGTACAGCATGTTCTGCGACTGTCCATCTCAAGAGCTTGTCAAACAACAGAACTAGCTGCTAGTTTCAGTTCTCCTTTTCCTATTGTAAACTCAAATTGTGTTCTTTTCCAAGCTTCAGGAAGAGTTTTAAAGAAAATCCTCAGAAGCAAGATAATCACTGGGATGGGAGGGCAGAAAGTTCATTAGCACAAGGCTTTAGGGTGAACAGAGTGTAAAGACAACATTCCCATTTCTCGCCCCATAAACTTCATTCGCCCTTACATTTATCCTAAATTAACTCTGGAATGTGTGAGAATTATATATAACACATGAAAGCACGCCCTTTCCACAGAATCTCAGCACTTCACACAAAGTGGGTCATATTTCTCTTTGAATGAGATGGGGCAATCTGCTAAGTCTCATGAACCAAACCTCACTGAAAGACCACTTGCTCTGTAAGTGCTAGCAGTCATCGTAAAAAAACTCATCCACACCTCAGACAAGAAAGGCTGGCATCAAGGTGTGTAAACACCCTCCATCTGAAGACAGCTGGAGTTGCAGTGTGAAGAGCCAATTTGTCTCCCCAGTTACCAGCTACCCGTTCTTGGCTTTCCCCTCTGGACAAGAGATAGAAGTCTGCTAAAAACAGCTTCCCCAGCAGAATTTAAGGCTCAGGACAGCAGAGGCTTTTTTCCACTATGCTTTTCTCTGCTGTGTACCCAGGGCCTAGAACAGCACCTAGCAGAGGGAGAGGCTCAGTACACGTCTGTCAGATAATATATGTTGGTCGAATAAAGCCTGACCTCATTAAGCTGCACTAACTAACACATAGAGTTGAAAGTAGTTTGCAAGCTCAAAGGTGCCATAAAGAATTATTATTTTTATTCTGATGTTCACATTTTGAGAATGTGAATTCTAAGAGAATTAGAAGGGTAAAGCCTAGATGTAATTAAGCCCCCATGCCTCTGGGATCCCAGGCACTCTGATGTCTCCATCAGAATGTTTTCTTTCAGCTAAATACCATTTTCTGAGTGCTCTGAATTCTTATGACAACTCAGTAAAGCAGGTATTACACTACAAGTCGACCCCTTTCATACACAGTGCTGGGGGCAGGGTGAGGCTTGGAGATGAAGACACTTCCTCCAGGTGGCCCTCCTGGAAGCAGCAGACACCAGGTCAGCTTCAGCTTGTCTCCCAAAACCAAGGAAGGTGACCAAACACCCCGCATTACAGGGCGGGGGGGGACCTGACAAAACACCAGGTTATAAAAACGTCTGTAGTAAACACACCTTGTTTGGAGAACAATTTATATCACGTGCCAAAGAAAGAACACATGACTCGGTATTTCCCCTTTGGAGAATTTATTGTAGGGAAAGAAGGAAAAAGATCAATGATGGCCACTGCATGGTTTTTCTAAGAGGATGACCATGAACATATGGAGAAGTTACATAATAGGGGTAATTAAGTAAAACTCTGAATATACATTCAACATAATAAAAAATATCCCAGTAAATATCCCAGACTGTGTGAAAGTGCTTATGTTAAGCGGGTACAGAGCAGAACTGGGTGATAAGAGCAAGGGACCAAGTCGGGACAGGAATAGGGAAGAGACGGGCAGGATTTTGTGGGGTTCAATAATGTGGGCGAATCACTTATACTTGTGTACGGAACATCTTCACACATGAGAAATCACACTTTCTCACTCCAAATCTCCATCCCTAATTTCCTACTCCTTGCAAAAGCAACACACCCAAACTGCGGCAGTGTCAATAAAACGGGGAAAAATCCGCACCATCACTGTGCAGTCGGGGTGGGGGTGAGGGGCCCTGAAGAGCAGAAGCNGCGGGGGCGGGGCCCACAGAGGGGAGGGGCGGGGCCTTCGAGTCCAGCAGGAAAGGTGCTAGGCCGGACGAGGGGGCGAGGCGAGGTCGTGAGAGGGGCGGGGCAGACTGGAGGGGTGGGGCCGGGTTAGGCGAGGGGCGGGGCAGAGCCTCCAGTACCGGAGGAACGCGATCATCACCGACACGTGAAAGCGAGTGCGGACTTTGCTGTTTGGAATTACAAATATCTGGGTTCAAGTCTTTATTGGCCTGTAACCTTGGGCATCTATTTCTGCTTTATCGACTATGCCAAAGCCTTTGATTGTGTGGATCACAACAAACTGTGGAAAATTCTGAAAGAGATGGGAATACCAGACCACCTGACCTGCCTCTTGAGAAATCTGTATGCAGGTCAGNCATCCTAAAGGAGATCAGTCCTGGGTGTTCATTGGAAGGACTGATGCTGAAGCTGAAACTCCAATACTTTGGCCACCTCATGCAAAGAGTTAACTCATTTAAGAAGACCCTGATGCTGGGAGGGATTGGGGGCAGCAGGAGAAGGAGACGACAGAGGATAAGATGGCTGGATGGCATCACCGACTCGATGGACTTGAGTTTGAGTAAACTCCGGGAGTTGGTGATGGACAGGGAGACCTGGCATGCTATGATTCATGGGGTCGCAAAGAGTTGGACACGACTGAGCGACTGAACTGAACCTTGGGCAAACACACTTCACCTCTCTGTGCCTCAGTTTCCGCAGCTGAAAAGTGGAGATGATAGTAGCACCCATCTTAGGGATTGTTGGGAGGAGTAAGTAAAATAACACCTGCTGAGTTTCCAGCACAGTTCCTGGCGTATAGTAAACCCTCTATTGTGGTTAACTACAGTTATTTGCTTTCTTGTCCTTTCCTCTTTTATCATAAAGTAAGGAATTGGTGCTTGCCCGAGTTCCTTATAATTTGAGTATGTTTTATATATGCATAAAATGTAATAATTGCAAACACATATGGAGTGTGTCAGGTGAAGTGCTTACCACATATTAAACACTGTAACTTACTGTAACTTATTTAACCCTCACATAAGTATGAGATGATCTTATTATCTTCATTTTAATAGTTGTGGGAACTGAAACACTGACATTAAACAAATTGCCTAATGACAAGGGCTTCCCTGGTGGCTCAGCTGTAAAGAATCCTCCTGCAATGCAGGAGACACAGGTTCGATCTCTGGGTCTGGAAGATCCCCTGGTGAAGGAAATGGCTGCCCACTCCTGTATTCTTGCCTGGGAAATCCCGTAGACAGCGGAGCCTAGTGGGCTACAGTCCATGGATTCTCAAAAGAAGGACACAACTGAGTGACTAAACAACAAAATAACAAACAACCTGAACAAAAACTTCAATCCAGGTGGCCTGGCAGCACGGTCTGCACTAAGTCAGGACCTATACCATGCCCCAGCTCCAGTTCTGCTTTGACTTTTTAACTAGTGTGAGGCTTGAAATCGCTCACGAGAGGCAGCACAGCCAGCTAGAAGCAGCCGGTCCTCACAGTCCAACCTCCTAATTTACAGTGTGGAATACAAGCATCTCTATTTACGAACTATAAATTAAGTATAAAATGCTTTCTGATATGGAGTCATTTCCTTTGCCTGACAGCTTTACAGGGTCTTACCTCCGTGAGCAACAAGGCCGGTGAGCCCACAGATACATTTGCATACAAAACTGAATCCCCTTCTAGGATGCTTTGGGTTTGCCCACTGCCTCTGCAGTGACCCAACCCTGATGCATCTCACCTCCTGGTTTAGGTCTGCATTGGCTCCACCCAGCATTCCACGGTCCAAGTGACTGGATCTGACCAATCAGGGCCACTCATCCCTCTTAGATCCATGGTTCTCTCCAAGGGCAGGCCTTTGAGCCGATCAATTCAGTTCAGTTCAGTGGATCAGTCATGTCCGACTCTTTGCGACCCCATGGACTGCAGCACGCCAGGCTTCCCTGTCCATCACCAGCTCCCAGAGTCTGCTCAAACTCTTGTCCATGGAGTTGGTGAGGCCATCCAACCATCTCATTCTCTGTCGTCCCCTTTTCCTCCTGCCTTCAATCTTTCCAAGCATCCGGGTCCTTTCAAATGAGTCAGTTCTTCGCATCAGGTGACCAAAGTATTGGAGTTTCAGCTTCAGCATCAGTCCTTCCAATGAATATTCAGGACTGATTTCCTTTAGGATGGACTGGTTGGATCTCCTTGCAGTCCAAGGGACTCTCAAGAGTCTTCTCCAACACCACAGTTCAAAAACATCAATTCTTCAGCGCTCAGCTTTCTTTATAGTCCAACTCTCACATCCATGCATGACTACTGGAAAAACTATAGCTTTGACTAGATGGGCCTTTGTTGGCAAAGTAATGTCTTTGCTTTTTAATATGCTGTCTAGGTTGGTCATAGTTTTTCTTCCAAGGAACAAGCGTCTTTTAATTTCACGGCTGCAGTCACCATCTGCAGTGATTTTGGAGCCCCCAAAAACAAAGGCTGTTACTGTTTCTACTGTTTCCGTGTTTCCCCATCTATTTGCCATGAAGTGATGGGACCAGATGCCATGATCTTAGCTTTCTGAATGTTGAGTTTTAAACCAACTTTTTCACTCTCCTCTTTCACTTTCATCAGGAGGCTCTTTAGTTCTTCACTTTCTGCCATAAGGGTGGTGTCATCTGCATACTATATGTCATCTGCATGCCATAAGGTTGGTGTCTTCTGCATCTGAGCCAATGGGAGCGCGGAAGATGCTCGAGCCACAGTGGGCTACCTCTCCAGTTGATGCAGTAAGAATAACTAGAGGATTCTGAATATGTAACA